AGCATTGCTTACATTTTCACAAAGGTACGCAAGCTTCTCTCCCGTGACAGAGTGTGTCCATGGTAAAGACTAATTAGTAAACAAAAAATTATGGATGGATACGATAGCAATTAAATAGAAGGAAAAATTGTCGTGCACACCTGTTTAAAAAAAAAATCCTAGCATTTTAGCTTTCTGGATGTCGATTTCATAATTACAAGATTATTAGCTGGATCTCCCGGTAATCTGTAAATATCTTTTGAAGAATCCGAATGTTACATGACCAGAAGAATCGGTTTTGGATTATGAACAGAACTCTTCAATATTTGAAATTTATGGATTATTGCACGGAAATGAATTGAAATTATTTATAACAAAGTGATAAGATATGATAAGTTTAAATAAAATATTCATTCATTTCAAGTTAATTTCTTTGATACTAAACTCTGTGATTCAAAATAGTTGAAAGAATGAAATTATTACAGGTGAAAAGGAATTGTTTGGCTAATTGGAAAACTATAACGAGAAATATGCGCCGTATTAAAATAATTCGAATCAATAGGAGGAAAACATTGCATTTAATAGAATCAGTAATTTTAAAAATTAAAAGTTAAAAAAAAATCTCAAGTATTACTCTATCATATATTGATTTCAAAAGCATAGAAGCAAAGAAGATAGGTAACCCAGTTTACTTAACTTTTGTTAGCAGTAAGTTCATGGTTCTCATTAATCCTTCATCCTTTATTCATGATTTTATTAATTCTGTGACAAAAGCGCAAAAGGATTATGCTTATTACGGCATTCTAACGAAATGTTACTACAAAAATCAATGGATTATTTCTTAATTTTTTCTCAGAAATTTGGAAATTGGACACAATTTTTAGATTTTGATAAAGAAAAAAAATCATTTCTGCTGTTTATTTCAAGTTATTACTTTTCCATCGATATCATATTTGACTAGTAATTCCGGTCATCCTGAAACGGTCTTCCTGAATATTACTTGATCCGTAACAAACGTTGAAATAGCGAATAAATGTTATCATTCATATCGATCGGGATTTACAGTATAAATCTTTTATTGCGAGTAGAGTAATCGTAGCAGATAGCGTTTTTTGGTCATTAATGGCGATAGCCTAAATTAACTTTTATCGTATCGATTAACTCTCCTTTTTCCGGATCCTGCATGATCCCGAAAAAAAGATAAGCAAAGAATCGCTTTTTCTTAATATTCGCTTTATTTTAGTCTTGGAAAATTCTCGAAAATATATAAATTAATCATTTTTGGAATAATTTGCTTACTTTAAAGTTGTGTAGTTTAAATTGTTAAATTCCTAATTTCTTCCAAAACTATTAGCTTTCCCTCTAAATTTATTTAATTGTATCAATAGTGTACCTTCAGGTAAATCATTAGCTTACAATGCTTTAGTTATAATTAATTCACGTTGTTCTAATAACATTATTTCATCCATTTGCTGGTTTCTTTATCATAATTATTTAAACTTAAAATTTAAACTTAAAACCAAAAAAAAAGGGATTTAAGGTTCAAAAACGCTTTGGCGACAATGAAATTATCAATATGATATGATTAAAATGATAAAGTTTTACAAAGAAACAATACATACATTCTCTCAAAATTTTAAATCTTGGAAAGTTTAAGAAATCTTGAGAATATACTATTCTTTACACTGCAATCAACTCCTCGTCATAAATCGATGATTTACTGGTGATGATCGATCAATGAACTATCGGTGATTTCCTGGTGAAATCTATCGGTGATGCGCTCATGCGGGATTCTTTACTCAGAAATTTTTGAAAATGTCTAGGGAAAGAAATGCTTCAGTTATTTAGTGTTATTATTAACAGAATATTCCAGCCAGTGAAACTTTTTTTTTTGATTGATTGATTGAAGCGATTGATACTGAATCGCTTACTGTGGTCATCCAGTAATTTCCCGAGAGGAAATAAACAATAATATCATTCCATTTCATAGACTACTGCACCACCAAGGATTGTATTACTGTAACCAGGAATTTAGACCAGAAACGGGATTTACGATTGGTGATATCAATGTTAGCAATGGTAGTAAATCAATGCCCAATAATATTAACTATGACAGTATTCCTGAACACCTCAAACTTGAGTTGTAAATCTGATGAAACAAACTAAACTAATGATCATGTATCATTTGAATGCTTTGCCTTATCATGTTTTTATGAAAAAACATTTGTTGTGAACTTTTTAAACCGTTCTGAAAGTATACAAAATTAATCAAATGGTGGCAATCCCACCATTTCAGGTTTAAATTCGGTTAAGCTTTTCAAAACAGACAAAATCATCTTCTCACAATCCTCAGGTGGTTTCGAATAACGTAGATCAGGAACCATAATCACCTGCATACCAGCAGCGATAGCTGCTCGAACACCATTAATGGAATCTTCGAATACTAAAACATTAGCTGCACTTGCTGGTTTATTAGCAAATCGTTGCATGGTAACCAAGAATCCATCTGGTGCTGGTTTACCGCGTTTTATTGATGGATCATCTACAAGTACCTGAAAATATGGGAATGTAGTTGACAAACATTAAACAGAATTGCTAATTAATTTAAATTCTAATTTCATGTAACAATTGATATGTTCATAAGAAGAAATTTAATTTGACTTACTCGAAGACTTATCAGTTGCAATAATTCTTGATGTTTCTGCATTTTAGTCTCAAATTCAAAAGTGTTAGAACCAGTACAAATTGCCATTGGTACCAAATGTTTAGCAAGATGCTTTACTAAATTCAATGCACCAGGTAATAATTTGGAATCAGGTAAATATTTGCTTGCAAGTTCCAAATACTGCTTTCTATATTGTTCCAATGTTACCTTTCCCATTAAATCTTCCTAAAGTTTCGTTTTTTTTTTCCTTTGCTATTACTTAAAATACATAAAGGAATTTTCGACAAATTGTTAAATTTAATTCATTTGGAAATAATTTGAGTATTTGATAAAAATAAAATGAAAGATTCAAATTTCTCCGCCAATTTTTATTAAATAAAAAGATTATTTAAGAAATGAAGGATGAGAATTTTCAAGAAAAAAATTAAAGGATGGATTCAGAAGATTTGCAACTTACATATTCCAATATCACATTGATTAATTCATCCATTTGCATTCCTGCTGTTTTGGCTTTTAGCTCCATCGTATATTTTTTATCATAACCAAGTAAAATTTCTTCATTCACTCGTGTATAAACACTTTCTGAGTCGAGTAATAATCCATCCAAATCAAATATCACGTGAGTAATTTTGACGCACGTTGAATTCATTTCTTTATTAAACCTTAATTTCTTATGAACAAAATAATTAAATAATAAATTATGTAAAAACTTCAGGGAAAATGATTTTTGCTTCTTCAATAAAATATGGTAGTACAAAGTACTGTTTATTTAATAATTAAAAAGAATCAATTAAAAAGAATTTTCTCAAATCGATTGGAAAACTCAAATTGATTAAAAAGAATTTTCACTCATTAATGTAATAGAATTATTTATAACAAATCCATCATCATCATCATATCAGATCAGGTATCAAAGTAATGAACGTTTAATTAGTTAATTAATTAAAATCCTGATAGTTTATCTAATTAGTGTTCTTTTGAGTTATTATTTATTCCGCATTTTTCAGTTCTATTTTATAATACAATAAAAAAATATTAATCGATTTGAAAGATACAAGAGGAAAAATTAATTCTTTTTTTGAGATTGTTATTATCCTTTTTGTTTCAAATCCAATGATACTAACAAAATTTGCTTTTAACATCATATCATAAAATACTAACCGGGATAGAATTAAATGAAGCTAACAATAATGAGAAAAATTCAATCAATAGTTTTAAATGATTACCGAATATTAGAATGATTGTTGTTTTTCCTAAGATTAAAATGAAATGGTTTGATTAGTACTATAAAATTAAAATATGATAATCTGATTAGTAAGTAATATAACATTTTTTGGATCATTAATTAAGAAAGCAAAAATTGAGTTAATAATTAAGAAAGTAATATCTTTCATTATTAAATATTCAAAGATTGAATTCAAAAAAAAAAATGGATATCTATAATTGCGTTATTTATTTGTGTGCTACTTTGCTATTTTTCTTTCATGGATGAATTTAAATTTTAAGTTATAAGGAGGTCAGGGGTCAGTTACCTTCTTTTCATCAACTGACCTAGGATGGATTAAAAGTTTATAAAGAGTATTTTTACTATTAATTTATTTCATATAAATGTTTTGCACATTCCTGCACATAAATCGTTTTCTTCTTCATTTTTATATTTTACAGATTCAATATTGATGATCATCATCAATGTCAGTATCAGTTTTTCTGTTCTAGGATGATGATAAACAGATACATGGAGGTGA